GTATAGTTACTGGCATTCCCAATCAACATTATTCAACATCAAATACATGCACTCTGCATGTTTTGTACAGTTTAACTGATTAAAATAAATTTAACTAACAAAAATAAAAACGTAACTAATGCATTTATACATGATACCACTACACGTCGCGTGATTACAGATTCTTATCAGCGTGGTCGGAATGATCGTCAAAGGACTGAATTTCCCCAGTTACTATAATACCTCCATGGTTTTACGTATTTGTAGTGAATACTTTGCACTAATCTTCAGAGGTGAAGGTGCTGAGCCTATCACGTTTAATAAATTGATTAAACTCTGTAATAATGCATTGCAATACACTTATCAGGCTGAATATTTTGTTAATGTGAGTTTGTACAAAAAACGTGAACCGTGTAATGACTGCTGATAATTGCTATATAAAAGATAAATTTTCTCATGAAATGATTTTTTTTTTCAATATTTAAGGTTACCATTTTGAAGTACTAGCTTATACAAATACTCTTTGTTTAATTTCCCTGTTTCTTTTTTTAAATGGCCCGGGTGTTCGTCTGTACGTCTCTGATGAATTTTTTTTTTGGTTATACATTTTTGCATACGTGTAATATTTAAAGTAGAAAAACATTATTTATAAATAACTGAAGTGCCAAAAGTCATTATATATAATGATTTTACTCAGTCATTGTTTATAAACAATTAACATCATATTGTTCATAAATAAAGAAAATCGCTCCACCAATTTAAATATAATTGTTGGAAGCAAAACTAATTGTATGTATATAAAGAAAAAAATGTTTAATTAAATGTTAAATAATGAATTATTTAAAATGTGCACCCCGATTTTTATACTGGATATGATACAATAACGGTACTACATAGTTATTAAAGTTAAGCATGTACGCTCGCGGTTGAGGTTAGCTGTATTTTGTGTGTTTTCAAACATATTAGTTTTAGCCCTCAAATTCAATTTTAATAGTGCATTCGTACCAACTGCAGTAAAAAAATCTGAAAGTACACCAACTTTATTGTCTCGTTTTATCTGCTGTTCCTTATTCTCCTCCACTTGCTCATATTTATATATTTGGTCTCTTCAATTAATTTATTCGGCCACTATTAAATTTGCTTTCTTATTTTTTCCTTTTGGTTTTTTGTATTCTTTCCTTATGTACCATCCTGGTCTCATTGCGTTCCTCTTTAAATTTAAAACCATATATAATTCATACAGTGATCTGTAATTTGTTTGTTTGCAGATGACAGAGACAAATTTCTACTGCAAGATGTATGTATCAAAGAATCAATGGCACTGTAAGTATCAAGTGAAATATAATAAAGTTACATTATGAAATTATAATTATTAGTCTGATCTTGTTCCTCAACTTAAAAAATGATTTCTCTTAATTTTCTGTTTCTAATTATCCTTCATTATATTTTATTTTTGGCAGATGCAGAAAAGGAAAGTTCGCTGAAATTAATAGTTGGAACATCTTGAGTTGGAAAGAGTAATCCCGGTGAAAGAACAAAAATAATTATTGTATCAAGTCACTGGATTAAGACAACTTGCATCATTCTGATATATTGATGATATTGTACAGAAGATATGATCGAATTACGATAAGATGACAAGGCAGAACTATTATAATTCATTTTATAAAACATTTTAACTTTTAGTTAATTTAATTGATCACGCCTAATAGTTTGCAAGACAATTAAGAGAAGATATACTGGAGTTTAGTTGAACATCTTGCTGAATATTGAGACGGAATGGCAGTGAAAGAAAATATTACAGCGATAAGTTATTGCAGCATCAAGACAGCTTGCATCATTGTAAAATATTGAACTACAATTGATTTTTTCATATATTTTATGTACATTTAATATAAATTCATATTATATTATGATTTTGATTGTAAAGTTTTTATAATAAAAAATATAAGCAATGTGTTGATGTGTTTCTTTGCTGGTTGTGTCTGAAGACTGGATAAGCAGGCAAGACGAAAGAATTAAGCGCCCTCTAAAAGAAAAAGGACTAAGTTTTCCATATTCCTTCAATTTGTATTTAAGTGGTGCTGAAAAATGCCCTCTAATACAAAAAAAAATTTCCAGGGTCTCTAAATTTGTTTAAAGGGGTGCCCTGTGGTGCTGGAAAGCGCCCTCTATAGCCATTTTATTTCTACGTTTTTCGGGGTCTCTAATTGTCAATTTCTACAAGAATCGTAAAATGTGCCCTCTAATAGCCAGTTTTTCAGTGCCCCCATAATTGTGGAGTTCTGAAAAACTGACTCTAAAGGGTGCTTTTCTCTACTTTTGACAATTAAGAGACCCTAAAGAATTTAGGGTAAAAAGGCTATTTGAGGGCGCTTTTCTTCACTATTTTTACCAGAACTCCACAGAC